TGTGTTCTACCAATCTTTGACGAATAGGTCGGCATGTCTCACCAACATAACATCGGCCACATGAGCAAACAATTTTGTAGCAGCCGGAACTCGATAATGGGTCATATTTCTCTCTAAATGATGGCATAACAGAAAAAGTGCAGTACAACGAGTTTCATTCGTCCTCATCTGGTGAGATCTACCAACGAAAAACTTCTTCGTGCACTTTTATTCGAAATTAAGATTCCCCTAATAATATTTAAATGTTTAGGTTATACAATAAAAAAAACTGGAGGCTCAATCGCACTAGGATTTCAGTTCATTTTGCGTTAAGCCAAAAATAACATATGCAAACTGCAGTAAAAGTAGCTGTACAAAATTAGAGCAATAGGCGATTGGATCTAACGATAAGGATCGTCCATCTGACTTGACTTCAATATTAAAGAATGAGTTTCTAGAATAAAGATCAAGTTAGACGGGAAAAATTGAGTAATATTGTATAAAAATTAAAAATAAATGAAAGCTTACATTGACCATGGCCATACTGGTGACTCTGTAGACTGTAGCTCGTTCTTTCACTATTTGGAAGCGCTGATTGGCATCTGTTGACTCTTTGGATGCCTCCAAATCAGACATTGCACGTTGAAGCTCATCGGCCTTCCGAGTGAGTGTTGTCTGAAGATGAGTGAGGTCAGAAACGCGAGAGTCAAGTCGTGATAATGCAGCATCCACCAGACGCACACCTTCCGTTGTGCCAGCAGAGACGGCAGAAACGGCGGCCATGTCAGTCTCTTCATCTTCGTCTACGTCTGTATCTGCCCATGAGTCAGGATCAACTGGAAAATTATCAGAAAAAATGTAAGAGCAAGTAAATAAGAATATTTATAATATTTACAGACGGTCAATTCGTTTAAGGCTTGCGGTTAAATCTGATGAAATATGTCCTTTCATATGAAACCTTCAAATGTATAAAACTATGTAGCCAGAACCAGTGACATAAAATTGAAATCATTGAAGTACGCCAACAACGATTATACAGGAGGCAGTCTTTATGTTCTGACAAACCAACAGAAAATTCCATCCATTAAACCGTCACATCGAATCCTTCGAACTCTGATCAATATTCCCAGCACAAGGGTGAAGGGGAGTGAGGGGGTGAGAACGCCCGCATGGAGTGTGGAGAGTTCTCGTGGAAGCCGCTCAAAATGGCACACCATACCACATTTAAATTAGCATGTAAAAATTGTGATAGCGAAAGCGTGATACGAGGATATAGGATTGGTGATTAGTCCAGGGGAAGGAGAGATACCACGATGTGGTAACAAGCTTTGATTAGACGATGCGAAATATAGATTCAAGATTAGTCACGCACTCACGTGATCATTGCGCCAAAAGATGCTGAGCCATAGCTATGTATGAGATGTAAGAAAAAACTAAACATTGAATGGGGAAAGTATGGTCATAGTTAAATACACTCTAATTTATTTCATAGGCAAAAGAGAGAGAGAGAAGGAAAGGATATAGAAAGAGCCACTGAGTAAGAGAAGGCCATACTAAGCTTGAGCCTATTTTTGAACCTAAAATTGTCAACCAACTCGAGGTTGTTGCATACACACGCAAACACGCGTCCACGAAGCTGTAACAAGGCCCAGGACTACTGAAGCATACTCTAGTTTGTTTGGATTGACAAAAGTTGTGACCACATCCGCTTCCAAGCCTGCATCACCTTGACCCACTTACATGCATGCAGGACAAGCATAAGTCAGCCAACCATATCATGGAATGCCTCATTAAGGTCGCAAAGTGAGGAATAAGAAGTAAGTAGGGTCTCAACTGGTCACCTTTCTTGATTTCGTGTTTTTTGGTGATGTCTTCGTGAATAATGTTTTCTGGTTCTGACGATGTTCGTCACATGGCGGAGAAAGTACGAAGTCATTGGGGTTGTATGACGATAAGCCGAGGTTTTTTCGCACAGATTAACAGACAAAAGTCCAAGGAAGCCCTCCTGTGGTATCCGGTACGGTCAATCTACGAATCCTTTTGACCTGTCTTCTCAAACGCATTGAAAGGTAGGTCATTATCAATCTATTAAAGGATTCTTCGAAGCCCAGCTTCTCCTCATCTTTCTTTAGTATCCTCAAAGCGAATGACCTTTACATCCAAGAAAGATAAGTGTCAGTTCTCTTTCACACCCATAGTAAATTTGAATTTTTTTATCCATTTCGTTTATAAAGATCAGGAAATCGTTTGATTTTTCTTTGTAATGAGATGTAGTAGTCTCGAAACCCTACTTTCATATGATTTTTCTTTTCCACATGACCATATTACTAAGTAGTCATCTAAGTATCGCGTAATTACCGTTGGCCGCTGTCATTTGACCTTTCTTAACTGTTGTAAACATTAAGGCAGATCTATTACCTTTTGTAATTTGATGAGAACATATCATTCCGAAAAGGTCAATGTTATATTATATCAAGCTTCTTTGAAAAAATTAGAGGAGTCATTGATAGGGAGAGGGGAAAATTAGAATTAACTTTGGATAAATACATTGAAATTATAACAGATAAAAAGTTAGTCAAGGTTTAGATCACTTGATTAATAAATTTGGTAATGTATATATAATACACATTTTACCTTGAATGGTAAGTTGTATGAGCAAACATGGGGCTTGATTATAAGATCTTGTTTAGCCCCTACTTTAGCTAATAATTTTATGACCCAATTAGAAACCTAATGAACAGGAGATTAAAATAAGGAAGAGCCAGAAAGAATTCCGCAAACTGTCGCGACGGACTTGGAGATTCAACAAGGAAATTAAAAGGAAGACGCTTGGATCCAGGGCAATTATATAACAACAGGAAGAGATATCGTCAAGGAGCGGATTATAAGAGACAAAGGGAAGTCAGTCAAAGGCAATTGCAGTAAGAGTAGGGAGT